TTAACCCACACGTTCTTTTTCCAGCAACCAGTACAACTGTCAAAATGGCCAAGGATGGAATTCTGAGACTCAGAAATCCCCCAGCCTCTATTTTAAAAACAATTTGAAAGAGACCGTTTAAACAATACAAGAACTGAACAAAATTAACCACAGAAAACAAATGAAAACTACAGATAAAGTTTACTTTCTTCATAGACAGTCATTCACTCCTGTTATTCCCTGTTACTAACAAGCAGGGTTTTTGTTTCTGGACATGCTAGACGAAACTAGTCGAGAAACCTAATTGAAATAATAAAACAAAAAATATTAATATAGAACCCAGTGTGTCAGAAAATGTTAATTTTTTGATATTTTTTATTCAAAACACACACACACACACACACACACACATATATATATATATATATATATATATATATATATATATATATATATATATATATATATATATATATAAAAGTATCACACATTGAGTGCTGGTAGTAATAAAACAGTGTTCAATGTATAATAACCGTGCTAAAATGTATATTAATAATAAATTTAATTTTTGTCTTTACCGGTAGTACAACTCTTGAGTGCTCACTTTTCAATCAGCACCTGACGATTGCATCGTCCATGAAACTCAGAGTTGTGCTGCCGGTGAAGAGATTAAATATGGCGATGTTTATGCATCAGCTAATATTTTGGGAGGTATGTCAGGCCGAGAATATGTGTGTGTGTGTGTGTGTGTATGTGTGTGTGTGTGTGTGTGTGTGTGTGTGTGTGTGTGTGTGTGTGTGTGTGTGTGTGTGTGTGTGTGTGTGTGTTTCCAAAATAAAAATAGAATCAAAGTTTGATTTCAAAATAGGTTGAGATACATAAAACTGAATTTCATGGATATCAACAGAAACAGATAAACAGCTAAGTCGCAAGATAAAGAAATACATTTATTGAGTGATTGAGGAAAATGAAGTGTAACCCCGTGTGGGTGGTGTTCATACCAATTATTATTATTATTATTATTATTATTATTATTATTATTATTTTAAATGAAACCCGTTAACTGATTTTCAGGATCAGGATTCGATTTCTTAACTATTATTCCGGCAGTGTAAGGCCTAAACGTCACTCAAGGTAGGTGGTTACTGGATGGTAGCGTTGTAAGAAAACGGCATATGAGGAGGGGGTAAGGCTTGCTTACTAATAGGATAAGTAGGATAGATAAAGGTTGACGTTCGATTTTAGTGATCAGGACGCATTCCCTCGAGAGTTTGTTCCAGTTTCGTGGATGCAGCTGTCAATGGAACTTAATCTTCACCAATGGAATATTAAGGAAATGAGAATGAATTCATTAAGTGCACTTTGTATGGTGGTTCCTAGCTGGGAAGGTTTGAATTAACGGAAGCAATATATATGCCATTACGCTTCTAAAATGTGACTTTTCCTTTTGCACTTGATCACTTTTGAACAGAGAAATTCAATGATCTTGAGGACGATCGTGGTAACTTCACATTGATCATTTTGTGTATTTGAAATATTCGACAGATTTTTAATCTTAGACATCGATATAAATTCTATATTTATAATGGCATCAAGTTTTCTTACCAGTTTAGAGAAGTTTCTAAAATGTTCGTCTATGTTGTCTCATATACTGAGAAACATGGAGTGGGTGTCGGAGGAGAGAATGGAGGGTGAAGCCGTAGCGAAGACGGGAGATGATAAAAAAAATGAGAAGTTTAGAAAATGTAGAATTATTAAGTGCAAACCAAAAAAAAAAAAAAAGCAAGTGTCTGTCTGTAAAGAGGTGAGAAGCGTTTGAGGCAATCACGAAGAAAAAAGTGCTCGTCGGATACGTTGAGATCACAACAAAATACAAGAGAATAAAGACGACTAACGTCACTAAGAAAATGTCTAGGATCCTGAATGAATGTTAAAGTCGAAGATAATTGCGTTTCGTGGAAACTACAGACAACTTGATATTCATTGGTTGAATAATATGGTTTTCAGAACGTATTAACGAGTTTTTTTCCTAAAGGGAATCTCACGTGATCTAATTCGATAAATGAACACCCAAACTTTAGTAATATTGATGCGCATTATTTTGTACTCCCGCCAAATTTCGATACCGCCTTCTGTTATAATCTAAATTGAAATTTGCATAGGATATTCATAAAGTCCTTATTTATTTAACCGCTGCGAATTACCATCCAATCAATACTCAAACATCGTTGAATGGTGATATTGCATTGTATGCTTGAAAATAATTTTGTTTTGATTAATTTTAATTTTATATAAAAATATATCACCTGTGTAGTTTGGTTTGGTTTGGTTTGGTTTGGTTTGGTGTGTTTTATGGCATATCAACCTCATTGGGTTATTTGATACCGATAATTGTTTTTTTTTTTTCTTGGTAATATTTTTTTGTCAAAAATCTATTTCTGGTAATATTTTTTCTTCAAAAATGTATATCTGGTAATATTATTTTAAAACATGTATTGCTGGTAATATTTTTTTTTCCAAAACGTATTGCTGGTAATATTTTTTTTCAAAGATATATTGCTGGTAATATTTTTCTTTTCTTTTTTTTCAAAAATTATTATTTTTTTAGTTTTTTCAAAAATATATTGCTGGTAAAAGTTTGTTTTTTTTTAATTTATTTCTGGTAATAGTTTTTACAAAGTATTTCGTGTATTAAAACCTATTTTTACACTTTTATAATGCTTTTTACCTCAGTTTCGGGGTTAACTATTTGCCCATAGCTTGGACCCTAACAAATGCCACCACCCCAGGTCAGGGTGGACCTGGGAACACCAGCAATTAAGAGGTGGTTCCACGCTCCTCAAAACCTCCTGATCACAGGCCTTGCTGTTGGACGTAACTTATGGTCATACTCAGGATGCGGATGTAGTTTATCGTCATACCCAGGACGCGGATGTAGTCTTATCGTCATACCCAGGACGATCACCTGTGTAGAATTAAAGTAAATGTAAGTATCATTTCTATATTTCAGCGTTCGAAAAGTCATAAAGTATTTCACGGTTTTGTATTATGATTCAATTAACCAATTCAGAATCTAGGTTGAATGGTAACGTTGCTTAATATGTGCTACTAGAGCATTGAAGGAAAATCACTGTAGACGATTATTATTTGTAACTTGAGGTGTTAAACAAAGTATTACGTCGAAACGTGTTCTGCTTTGTTAAATAGGAAACGGGTTATTTTCCACTATGCCTATGCAGACTCACACTCAGCAAAGTAAATATAAGCTCTTTTGAATTGGATTTTCTTCCAAATCTTCCATACTTATCGGATTTATTACTGACAAATTTTCATTTGCTTTGATCATCAAAACTATTTTATGGTTGTCTGAAAGTTGAAAAAAAAAACTCTCTTTGAAACATTTTATCGGTGAAAAGACCAGATTTCTTTAAAAGTAGACTCGAAAATTTGCTTTCCCGTTAGGCAACAGTAGTTGAAAAAGAAAGTGATTACATTTTTGATAAATAACATTTGAATAAAATGAACTAACATTTTTTTATATCATTCCTTATAATGCATAATTACTTTCCGAATAATCGAAGTTTCGAATAAAAATTAACTTATATTTGTTTTTATATCCTTTACAGTAAGATGTAATTACTTTCGCAAAACCCTATTAATTATAAGAATACAATGCTTTATATCTAAAATCTAGCAATAGATCATTTACAAGTAAATTATTTTTAAATACTTTTAGGTACTCATAACTTCATTTTTTTTATTACTATTCTGGCTAAATTTTTAATGGCTTTCGTATAATCTTAAGTTACAATGAAGTCTTTTTTTTTTTTTTCATGTGCTATTTAAGGCCTCCGGAGTTTGTCTTTCCATTCCAACAGGTACATTGTGTTTTTCGTTATATTGGTTTCTGTGAAAATTCAACTCAATTCATTAAATAAGAATAACACTTGCTTTTATTTTCGACATTCTTTGAAACAACTTCATAATTCCATCCAGTTTTTTTTTTATCTTTCCGAGCAACGGTCTGCTTGAATTAGTTTTTCAGTTTTCCATATTACTGACTTTTATTATCATTATTATTTTGCTTCCGTACAACATATAGTGTTATCTGCTGATAAGAACTTTATGTTCGAGGCATCTCTTGTTGTTTAAGGAAAAAAACAACACAAAACAAAAAACAGCCATTAGATCTTTTCATAGAAAACATGTATCCGATTCTTTTCGAAGTAGCCTTGCTAATTCGACCAGGCACGCTTATTATAATGACTCTGTTACCAAATCACAATCAAATATCTCCAATTTTTTAACATATTTTGGGGCAAGCCCCCCTTACTCTATGATCACTGATACTATATTTTTTTAATCGGTTTCACCCCATGCAAGGCAATAAAGTCACTGTAATAGAAGGGGTTACAGGACGTAGAAGAATTAGGGAAAGAAACATTAATAATGAGCTGGAAGACGAAGGAGTAATCAGGAGGACAGTAGATAGCAATTGACATTGCATTTAAATTTTTGCAGATTAAAGTTGGTTGGAGAGCATGGAACCGGAAATGAGCACCACAAGCCATAAATGCGAGAAAAGAAACTGTCAGAATAGATAAATTACTTTAATATCATTATTATTGTTGTTGTTGTTTGTGCTAGTAGTAGTAGTAGTAGTAAAAAATCAGTAAATTCTGGAATAACTCTAATCCTAAAGTGCAATATCTAATGCATATAGTGTAACAATGAAGAGTCCCCAGCCATTCTGTTCTGTCTATCTAGGCCTTAACAATTTCTTCTAACAAGATTATATCTGCGTAAACATCTGAAGTTTCTCTCTCGTTTGCAAAATCTTTCATTTGTCTGTTGAAATCTCCATACAATTGATTTAATCCACCTTTTCACTTCTGGTTTTTAGAGATTTCTTATCAAGCAATTGTCTTTTTATCAATTCCGCTGCAAATTTTCGGTACCATAATCTATCTTTCATTACACTGCCTTGTGAAAGGCTCGTGTCTCTTGTTAGCAGAGCAGTCTACGGTCAAATCACGTTGAAATTCTTGGTCTCGTTCGATCACCAAAGTTAAGTATTGTGGAGCCCAGTTCGTACTTAGATGGAGGACCGCTTCGGAACACCGTGTACGATAAGCAACTTGTTACAATCCGATATATAATTCAGTTTTATATAATCCACAGAGGGGTGATAAGCCGTAAAAAACAATATTGTTTTTGTATGAAGTCTATCACGTCCTGAGTGTAAATTTTTTTGCATGGTCATCGATTCCGTTTTGTTCGTCTATTCAAATGTCTCCGTTTTCTTCTGTTAAGTTTAGAAATGGCTTTAGAATATTTCTGTTGATAGTTTCCGAGTATTACTTCGATCATGACTCAACTGTTGAGTCTCTGTAGTTAACAAAATTTTCGTTATTTCTCTTATTTTAAAAAATATTTCATTTGAACCCTGTTTTATTATCCTTAAATATTTTTATCATTTTCTTTTTCTTTTCATTGTCCTAAGGATGTTATCTAAATGTATTTCAGTTCCTTCCATTATTTCCTGTTGTATGTCGGCAACAAACCTCTAGATTGCATTCGTATGTATTGATTAATGTTGACTGTTCTGTTTTATCCTTGGCAAATAAGTATAAGACATCCATATACATTGAGTCTTACTTGTAAATTAGTGAGTCGATATCCACTTTTACAATTCTGCAAGATACAAATGAGTAAATTTAGAGCATCTTTAAACATAATTGAAAAGTTCTGTTTTGGAATGAATCACAAATTTCCTCTGCAAGTTTTACAGTTAAAATCTTCCGAGTTTGATACAGACACCTGCTGGGAATTAAATTACTTGCGATTACTCTTTTTGCAGCATCTTCTTGTAAACTAATCATGAATTTTGTTGTGTTGTGCATTTTTTCAGTTACTTATGCAGAAAGATATTTGTTTTAGTTTTTACAAATTTCGCTCGTTTATGCAAAGTTTGAAATTGGCGTTCTATAATAAATAGATCTCTTCTTCCTGCAGCTATATGTTAAATAGCAAGGTAAATTGACCTGTTTAACCCTGGATGGAAATCATTCAGGGAAAAGGAAAGCTTTGAATACAGGAATGTCCTGACAGCACTTGCGAGATCATCTGGCATTGTAGGCATCCGCACTTTTGATTGAAACTTTTATGCAACGTAGAGAAGGGAGACTTAGTGTTTCGGTAACTCTCTGTCCTCTATATATACCTACCCATGTTTTATTTGGAGAGACGGGAAATGAAACATCATCTCGAAGATGACAGATGCTTAAGTTTTAAATCTGGAAAACGACAAAAATAGTTTTGTTTGTTATTTCGGCAAAAATTTCGATTCATTCAGACTGTTTAGAGATATACCATTACAAAAATTCGGGCAAATTACTTCTTTGACTAAATATTTAAAAATTAAAGAACTTTAAATAAGGATGAATTGGTAAACGAATATAGAAATATTTATTTTAATAATTGATACTAAACCTTCCTATACAGATAATTTACGATAAGATAATGTGATAAACAAATAATATATCTAAGAACCATCTAAATTGTCTTGATATTAGTCGATATTGTTATTTGTAGTTAATAAATTCGGTTGAGTCAATCAAAGAGAATATTGTGTTTAGTTAATTTTCTACATAGAGAACATGATTGAGTTTAAAATCTGCCTTTTGAATTCTAAATATACGACTACCTCAGGAGCAAAAACAGGATCTAAAATTGTAAAAAAGAATAACGTTTTGCATCATTTAGCGTTATTGGGAGTACTTATTTTATGTGCTATAACCTTTCAAGACATGGGCGACTATGTCTCTCCACAACATTCTATATCTTTTATTAAACGCTAAATAGAATGATGAAGTGGAAATGCTTACTGTGATCTTTTAATATTTCCTCCCTGCATTTCGTACCTTCTGTATTTCTTATGAGTATTAAATTCGCCATGTCCTCTTTCCTCGTTACTTTTGATCTATTATGAATATATCCCATGTAGCAAATGGGAGGACTATCTCAGCATTAATTTTATATGGCAGGGGATAATAAAGAATGATGAAGTTATAGATGCTGAACACACTGAATGCTTGTGATGCTTTGGGAAATCGATTATATATCTACATCCCTTTGAATATCTTGTTCAAATTTTGATAAATGCATGTTTTTCGTTCAGCACGACGCTTATTTAGCATTTGTACGAATGCAAGAAAAATACACACGCATACACACACACACACAGACACACATAAACACACACACACACACACACACATATATATATATATATATATATATATATATATGAGGCAGGATGTGTGTGTGTGTGTGTAACGAATGCAGGACCGCAATTTTCGATGGATTTGCACCAAAATTTACATGCACATGCTCCAAGTTAGCGGGAAGGCCTAGACCGACTTTGCATTTCCCAACTCCCATCAATAGTGGAAATAATCGATTTTTTCATGCTTCTATAGCAGTTTTCATGTAGTTTGAGGCCATTTTCTACTGGCCAAAGTGAGAGCCTATAGCTGGCTGCCATGAATAGGCAGGAAGATTCTATTGGCCAGCGTGCAAAAAAAAAATCGACAGCTGCATTCGTCAAAGTTGGAAAAAATTAAATCTGCATGGCACTTTACTCCAATTGGCTCATTCGCTTGCTTAAACTCAACGTTGATTCTGATTCCGCAGAACTGGGTTGGGTGTGAAAAAAGTATTTGTTGTTAACATTCTTTTTACATTCGGTTTTTCCAGTTACGAGTCCTTTTTTAAAGCTGATCGTTTTGTGTCCATTTTGTTTAGTTCTTTTTTGTAACAGATTTAATGTTTAGTATAGAGCTTAGAAAAAATTTGCAGTGTGAGTTAGGCAAGGAGTAGGGCATGTAGCAACATCAGCACGGCAAAGGGCACTCCTTTAAAGGCAAGGAAGGGCAAAAAATATTTTAAGTCAAGTGATAGTGATTGCTGTATGAGTTGTACGATTTTTTAATCAAACACGTTCAACGTCTGGCTATGCTCTTAGTATATATATATATATATATATATATATATATATATATATATATATGCACATACACAAAACCTTATATATATATAGATATATATATATATATATATATATATATATATATATATATATATATATATATATGTATATATTCTAAGACATCTTTTATTTTTATACATTCTTTTTATAGATACAATTATTTAAGTAAATGCTCTGTTTATAATAAACACTATTAATAACATTTACCGGCCTGAATGTCCGAGAAATTTTCATAGAAAATATTCGTCTTCCGACAGGAATCGAACCTGTATCCTATACAGAACCGACGTGCCCTAACCGATTGAGCCACAGAGGATCGTTCGATTAGCAAGGTCGATTTTACTGCTTTTAAACTACAATCTTCCATGAATCTCTCACGTACATTCATATCTGCTCAATGCGTATCCAAACGTAAACAAATGACGTCACACATGAAATGGACAAAGTCCGACGATTTCTTTGTTTATATTTATACATTCTTTTTATAGATACAAATATTTATACATACATACAGACCCTCCAAAAGTATTGAAAGGCAAGGCCAATTCCTTTGTTTTTGTTGGTCACTGAAGACATTTGGGTTTAAGATCAAAAGATGAATAACATAGACAATTCTCGCTCAAATGATCTCAATTTTTTAGAAAATGTATGACAACTAAGTTGTGTATGCAGATTTATCTTAATGGGAATCTAGCAGGAAGATGGCCTGGGCACTGCCGTGATAATGACAATGTGCTGCCGAAATGACCACCACGTTCACCTGACTTGACACCTTGTGATTCTTTTCTAAGTGTCTATGTGAAAGGACAGGTCTATATACTAAAAGCCTAGAGGAACTTAAGCAGATAATCCCAGAGGTGCTGGAGAATATTACGCATGGCATGCTACAGCGTGTTTGGTAAAACCTGGACAACCGACTTGACATGTGTCATTTCATACGTGATGCGCATATTGAACCTTTGTGAAACTTTATGAAATCGGTTATATATCTACACCCTTTTCAATAGTTCAAATTTTGATGAATAAATCTTTTATAGTTCAACGTGAAGTCTGTTCAATTACGTTTCCCTGGGGCATGCAGTTACTCAGATATTCACATCTTAAATGATATCAATTTTTGGGGACACCCTGTGTTTTTCAAGTAAAGTAATAGGCTCATAACATCGATTTTAAAATTTCTACTCTCAAAAATATTCTGTTAGTTTACGGTTATGGCATTGAGAAATAAAAGGACTTTTTTTTTCTGAAATTTAACTGCACTGAAGCAATTTAACTTTGTTCCAATTTCCTTCTCCTTTTTCTTCATTAGCTGCACTAAACAGGGTTATTATTTTAATTGACTCTTCACTCCAGCTCAGCGATGCAAAAAACCAAACTTATTTATGCCTACTGAACAATATCTTCCAAACCAACTTCTTACGAAAACTGCTTGTTTTTATTAATATAAAAGTAAATTCTCTTAATAATTAGGTGCGCTCAAAATATCTCCTTAAAATTTTTTCTTTTCCCACTTTTTATTAATAAAGAATTTGGTTTAAAACTAAACGAAAGAAATAGGTTGCACAACAAAAATAAAATTGAACATACAACATCAAAAGGTATATAGTTTTTACCCAAAATCAAAAAGTATTCTTGGGTATAGAATCTATATACGATCGGAGTGTAGAATTAATTTCAACTCGGAACTAATGGTTAGGGTTAGGGGTTAGGGTTAGGGTTAGGGTTAGGGTTTTTAAATCGAGTTGAAATTAGTTCCAAGTTGAAATTAGTTTTGTTAATTTTACCATCTTGCCAGAAAAAAGCCATAGGCATGTATTGTTTTATCGAAAAACAAGTCTATATGTACAAAGAATGTACATAATTACCTACAAAATATTTTAGTTTTGGTTAGGGTTAAAGTTAAATTTTTGAAGGGGGATTTTCTTGCGGTGACTAAGATAGAATTTATCTTTTCAGTGCAATGAGGAATGACAAAAATTATCAATGATGATATAATGACATAAACGTTCTTTTTTGAATATAGAAAACTATTTTCGCTTCTTTACGATAAAACGACAGAGGGACAAGAGAATTTAA